CCTCTGGTTCTATTAATTTTTAGGGGGGAGGTGATCCGGCAACCGATCGATCAGAAGGGGTTGATCCCGCGCCTGAGCGCGTCGCATTTCACCCGCCGCCCGGGCGACCGTCGACGCGCGTCCGCTGATGCTTTGCCGAGGAGCCAGTGTCTCCGTCCCGCACAGTGGGAACGCCCCATCGCTGAATGGTCTCTGTGAGAGATTGTAAGCCAAACCTCTTACCTCCGTCTCGTTGCTATGCTTTACATCGGCAGTGCGTCTTACGGGTGGGTTTGGCCCGAGCGCTGGAGCCTGGTTATTGTTATAATGTCCTATTCCTAACGAGTGCTAACGACATACGTGCTGGTATATCCCACGTGCGGGTTTGGCCCGAGCGCTGGAGCCTGGCTATGGTTATAATGACTGAGTCCTAACGACATACCTGCTGGTGCAGCTGGTCGAGCGTGGCGCCCTCTATAATGGTGTCCGGGTCGATCACGTTTCCAAGCGACTTGGACATCTTCCGACCATGAGCGTCGCATATGAGACCATGCAGCAGTACTTTCTGCCGAAGGTGAGGTAGGCACCCGTCACACTAGACAGTTCTAAACACAACTTATGACGGACTGGTGACACAAACGGTACAAAGGCTGACATGGCACAAAAGCTCGAAGCCGCTGCGGAAGGCAAGGTGCAAGACACTGTACATGATTACCGATCCAATAGCCGTCGTCCCAGTGACGTCATCGGGCTGGATGATACGATGGATTGAATACCAGGCGAGCTAGTCGGCCACGCATGAGACATGATAGCTGTCATGTCCTTGGAAACCACAATAGCCAGCTCCAAAACATTTGGCATCAACGTCAGAGGCAGGTAGTAACGACAGGCGAGTCCGCAGAATGTTACCTTGAACGGCAGCTGTCCAGTAAGAGCCTGGCCGAGCATAACCATCCTGGCCACCCAGAAGAAGAGGATGTCGTGACCGGTCTCCATCAGCGACAATGGGTACTGCTGGGCCAGCTCAGGAGTCTGCGGGCAGCGGAGCCCAAGGTGATTCTGTTCTGGACCACACCGGTTCAGCCCTAGGGCTGAGCAGGTCACGGTGCCTCAGCGGGTCAGCCAGGCCGTCTGCAGACGGCACGGAGAGATCCTGCCCCTCCCCCAGCTTGCTGTATACCGGCTCAGCCCTGGGACGCCCTTCAGCGGGTCAGCCAGGCCGTCTGCAGACGGCACGGAGAGATCCAGTCCCTTCCCCTGCTTGCTGTATACCGGCTCAGCCCTGGGACGCCCTTCAGCGGGCCAGCCAGGCCGTCTGCAGACGGCGTGGAGAGATCCTGTCCCTTCCCCTGCTTGCTGTATACCGGCTCAGCCCTGGGACGCCCTTCAGCGGGCCAGCCAGGCCGTCTGCAGACGGCGTGGAGAGATCCTGTCCCTTCCCCTGCTTGCTGTATACCGGCTCAGCCCTGGGACACCCTTCGGCGGGCCAGCCAGGCCGTCTGCAGACGGCGCAGAGGGATCCTGTCTCTCCTCCTCTTCCCCTCATCGTTGCATACTGGGTCAGCCCTAGGACACACTTCGGCGGGCCAGAAGACCTAAGACCAAGGATCTGCCCCTCCCCCTCCTCGCTGTATACAGGCTCAGCCATAGAATACACTTCGGTGGGCCAGTCAGACCGTCTGCAGACGGCGCAGAGGGACCTTGCCCCTCCCCCTCCTCGCTGTATACAGGCTCAGCCATAGGACACACTTCGGCGGGCCAGCCAGGCCGTCTGCAGACGGCGCAGAGGGATCCTGTCACCCCATGTACAGCGGCCCTCGGGCCATTCACTACCGCAACAGCCACTGGCGCGGGCTGTACCGGCAATCCATACACGGCACGCTTCCTGCCCTGACCACGTCACCACTTGTGGCTCGAGATGACAGCGTAGGTTTGCCCTGGCGGGACTGTGGCAAAAACAGACCCCATCCGCCCTCTTCTTGCTCGCGTTATACTGAATCCTCGCGACGCATCCTCCTCTCCGGGGCAAACTACGAGCGCCAGTCAAAAGTGGGCCGAATCCCTCTATGGTGATCCCCCCCCCCCCTCTCTAAGCGCCGAGTACATACCCCGCATAGAGGTCGCTGTGCAGTCGTCATACAAGCACAAAACACGAAAGGCTTTATAGCGTGGCACACGTCACATTGGTTACTACGTGAAAGGGAAGTCATCTGATCGGCGTCAGCAATACGTTATAGCGATGAGGTTGACATAGTCATCAAGTCGTATACCTCGCACTAAGTACATTGCGGAGCACACAGAACGAGCAGGGTACCCACAATGCCGACGTTACACAGCACGCTCTCACTTATGTGTCAAGGGCAGCTGCAATGCCATTCAGTCAGATATCGCTGGCATCGCATGTAACCGAGCTAAGCTGCCAAATGGCATACATCGCAACTCAGGGTAAAATATATGATGAGGGACCATGGCTACCTTGCGTACAAAAGCGCGTACCTGTTTAGGCCAGCCAAACACCGTAAACGGGAAGAGGGCGGACGAAAACCATGTGTCCATGACGTCTTGGTCTCGCCGGACAGCCGTCACATCAGCGGGCGTCAGGCCTAGGAGAGAAAGCAGGCTGTTTAGCACACATTCACAGCGGTGGATCAGCCTCACCATCGGCACGTGACACACGCCGAACGTCGGCAAGAAGCGCTGGCCGCGTCACGCCAGCTGCGGTCAGCTCCCGGTCAGCACTGATGAGTTGCCCCATAGATAGGAGCAAGCGAAGCCTCGGTCTAAAGATTGCACGGCATCGACATTTCGCAAAGAACTCTGTTGAGCACTTCTACCTGGACGGAGCAGACGTACTACCTGCGCTCTGGACGCTTGCTCACCGTTCGCAACCTGAAACGCTGAAGTCCTGCTCCATTCATAAGCAGCTGCACATCCCAACCAACTGCGTAGTAACATACTGATCGCACTCCAACAAAGCGGCGCACACCGGGGCCGACCAGCCGAGTCTGGCCCTCGTCCGGTGTCCGGGGAGCGTACCCAGCTTGCTGAGGGCGTCCTGGTCGGAGGCGGCCGCCACCCAGCGCTCCGTGCCGTCCAGGCGCCTGACGCAGTACGCCGGGATCTGGTGGCCCCACCACAGCTGGCGCGACACGCACCAGTCCCTGCGGCATGTCCACACGGCCTCGCTGGGGCTTCGCACGCCGAAAACCTCCGAAGACATTCCCAACGACGACCGCGCAAACGATTGAAACACGAATGGTATTAATCGTAGATATCATGGCATACAGCTCGAAACGTCAACCAATGCCATCTTCGGCCCAAATCCTACGCGATGTTACTGTATTTTTCCCTTAATGTGATCAGCTGTCGTGCCATGTTATCCCCTTGACGCATCCCAGGCATTAACACATGCCTCGTGTAATGTACGCCATCTTCACTTCATACGCCGAACCTGGCGAGCTCCCCACCCAACGCATCGTCACACACACGGACACCGACCCCTCCCCCTCCCCCCGCCCTGAGCGTGTCGGCGTCAGGCGGCGCTGGCGCACCTGCAGCCGCCCAGCCACTTTCGCCAGGTGGCCGCCAGCGCCGGAGGATCGATCACCAGCTCCCCGGCCTCCACAGCCTCCAGCGCCGCTGCTGCCATCTGGTCGCAGCGGACGAACCTGCAGCCCAGGTGAAGTGACGGTGAGAGCGGACTGCGTCGGGCGTTTGACATCTCGCGATCACCGGCTTAGTTAATGTCGCGTGGGCTGCACGCCACATTTTCCTGCAATGCGTGGCTACCCTGTGTATTCTGCTGTCATTTCACCCGGTTCAGGAACAAATCCTGCTGTTCCAGTTTACCTGGTTCAGAAACAATTCTATCATGACAATTTTCAAGGTTCCGTTATTTTCCCTGCCGGTGCTCACCACTGGTGTTTCACCATGGGCTCGATGACGTCACCGGTGCGGGAGCAGACGGGCACGGCCACCTGATGCGGCCGCTCGCCGCGGAATAGGCCGAGCTCCTTGAGGGCCTCGACCACGGCCAGCCGGGCCTCGACACGGCTAAGGCCCTGCGGGAGGGCCCGGAGCGTGACGTTAGACACCGCTGCTGGCTCCAGCACGCGACGAAACACATAGCACGATGGACCGCACTGGTGTACGAAAGATACATGAAAGACGGTGCTGGCACTCGTTTCAACAGCGCGTGTCTTCGCACAAGAACACGTGAGGCATGTAGCCGGAGCATTTCAAATATGTCTGAAAGGTATTTGAGGCGTGAGGCACACGGCCGGAGCATTTCAAATATGTCTGAAAGGTACTTGAAACGTTCAAGTATTGCACCCAATGAGACGCACGCACGCACGCACGCACGCACGCACGCACGCACGCACGCACGCACGCACGCACGCACGCACGCACGCACGCACGCACGCACGCACGCACGCACGCACGCACGCACACACACACCACACACACACAACACACCACACACACACACACACACACACACCACAACACACTACTAATCCCCTTCCTTCGTATGACGGTATGGGGAACCAAGTCAAAAAACCATCAATAAATGGCCCATCATTCAGCGACTACTCTACACCGCACCGCAACAAGCATTACAAGACTGCCAATATTCACAGGGATTATTTTTAGTCGAATAAACCATAACGAAAACTTGTACCTGAAATTGACCTCCGTTTTCGTTGATCCTTCCATCCTCGGACAGAATTGTCAACATTTCCAAGTTGTGCCGCTTCCCCACGTCAAAATCATTGAAGTCATGAGCCGGCGTTATTTTCACAGCTCCTGGGCAGGAAAGTTATTTCCATGTAGAGTACACCAAACGTTTACTTCGTCACGGCAGGCCAGATGTAGCGCGCCGGCGTCATATTGGCAGCATGCCGCGGCAGCGAGCTCCTGCAGTACTATCTTTTTACTATTGAACACCTTTCCGACAAGCCGAATGTGCTCCTTTACATGCTGCCTTCTTGAAAAAATAGGTTCGTCCAGCGTATATATCAGCAGCGTTGAGATCGGAGCCAATACTAAGTTGCTGTTCAGAGACTGATTCTAGACACGAGCCAGGTGTTCCCAAATACAATACCAAATTGCGGCCCGTATTGACGCCTGTAGGCCTGCAAAATCATGACAGTTCCACCGAGCCCAGGAAAACAGCCACCCATAAAAGGCCATTTCCTTGACACAAGGCAGCTACCATATCACTACTTATCACTATCTACAATATCTAATCACCTGTGGTTTTTGCATCAAACGCGAGTAGTGAAAAGCCCGCAGCCCTTCCGTGTACCGTGAGTCGCTGACCCCTCTCCCATCCC